ATTAATACCAGTACTTTTTAAAAAAGACCGGGGGTACTGTATGCAGCGCTGTACGGTATAAGATATGATAGAAAACTTATTAAGTAATCCTATAGAAACTTCTGGAAATAATACTATAATAAATAAGAATAAATTACAAGATCAATTGAATATTAGTAAAAAAATCTAACTAAGAACACTAATAATAATAAAATATAATGTGAAAATAGTTTAAAACAAAATACTATACAAACTAATAGTTATATAGCTATCTCAAGACAGTAATTAAGTCTATTAAATTTGCATGGCCTGATTAATGAAAATTAAGATACAGTAATATTAAGGAACTATGCTTGAATCATCTTGACGAAACAACTATCAATTGGCACGTGCTTGTATAACTACTAAATTTGGTTATAATTTTTTTTTTAAAGTTGCCTTATACATAAAAAGTTTACATGAGAAACTTGAAGGATTTCAAGATGAAAATAACGGCCTAAATCAATCACGCGCGATTTGGAGTGTAGAGAAGGAAATACTTCTCAATAAAGTCGGTTGCTTAAATGGAGAAAGGGAATTACTTTTTAATGAAGTGAATCGTTTAAATGAAGAAAGGGAAATACTTTTTAATGAAGTGAATCGTTTAAATGGTGAAATTAGCCACCTAAATGAATTACTTCTTATTATTCGAAATTTATAAATATTAAAGTTTTATATTTAAATAAAAAAAAAAGCCGGTCACTTTAATCGGGGTTTCAAAGTTAAAATTTATATTGTAAATAATAGTCATTATATGTAGTTTAAATCATAAATACAGTAAATGTATTCGGAACCTTAAATTGAAAATAAGCAATAAAAATACATCACTGATTTCACTAAAATAGTTTTTTTTTTTCATAACTTTGAAATCACCTATTACATAAAAACATTTAATTAGATAAATTATACAAAATTAAGCGCATTTTAAAATTAAATAAGATTTTTTAAATAGTATTTTTACTATGTTAACTTATAAATCGGAAAAATAAATTAAAATTTTCTGATTTTAATTTTAAAACTCTCCAGTATTTTTCTTTGATTACTTTTATTTTATTATAACTTAATATTTTCTAGATTTCCTTCCGAATCAAATTCTTGTTTGA